AATAATTGATAATATAGGTATAGATATAAATATAGATACATAAACATAAATATATATATATATATATGTACACACACACATATACACATATATATACATACATACATATATACATACATATATATATAAATATACATGTATACATATACATATATAGATATATATATATATATGCATATACAAACATACATACATACATACATATATATGTATATATACATATGCATATACATATACATATATATAATGCAAAAAATGTTTGAAATTCAGTGGCAGGTGCTGGTCTGGCTCCATTGCAAGGCGAGAATTTGGGACCACACATGAATTGCAACGATAACTTGCGTGCGCAGTCGCGTGCGATCACATACACATACACATGCAGATACAGATACAGAAACAGATACAGATACAGATACAGGTACAGATACAGATACAGATATAGATACAGATACAGATACAGATACAGAATCAGATACAGAAACAGAAACAGAAACAGATACAGATACAGATACACTCAACACATCCTATATACTACTATAAACTTACCCGTTCCATCGTTGACGCAGAGTCCGTTGTTCAAGCAAGGATTGGCCGCACATGCATTCAAGCCCACAATAGTACCGCACATAGCACCCGCATATCCTTCCTCACACGCACACGTGTACGCATCTACGGGCAGGTCTGTTGTATTGGTCGCAAGCGTGCACACGCCTCCGTTCAGACACGGATTGGGTGTGCAAGGCGAAGGGACCGAGCTCCCATCATCCGTCACTGTGGCTGTATTCGTATCCGTAGCCGTTGCTGCGCTGCTGCTTAAATCCGACATTTTCGTGGACAATACTGGAGACACCGTGGCCGATGGGGTGGCAGATGGGGATGGCTGAATATCGACCACACACTTGATGGTGACAGTGTCATTGACCGCCATTTCAGTCAGTGACCCTCCAATGAATGAAGCCATTTGCAGGCCCTGGGTGGTGTTTGAGCACTGATAAAGACATACACAAAATATGAGTCGATCTGATTTGTTTTAGGGTATACGATATGATAGGTGAATAATACAGATATAGATAACCTTGAGTGTACATCACTTCTTACATATACGGTCCGGATAGAAGAACGTAAAGAGCTCTAAGAGGTACAATTGCATGAACACCAAGGGACCACTGAAAACTGTAGTCATGACAATCTGGCGTCGAAGACACTTGCACACTTGCATGTTTATGTGCATACGCCTCATGAAACGGTGTACAATTTGACAGAATCGATGAAGTGTAGGTATATGAATACATAAGGCACCTGGATCACACAAACTGTGCATATGAACTTTATCATTGCCCCGACCCAACTGTTTGTCACAGCACTATGGCCCTCACAAGACCTGCAATATGCGTCCGTGAATTGATGTACTTGTGCAATTTCCATAGGAAGGATTGATCACACACACACACACACATACATACATACATACATACATACATACATACATACATATATATATATTCATTTACACACCTCGCTATACAGGGTTTTCGACTCTGAGTCGTACAAATGCTCGGAATTGGGATTTTGCCACAGCACAAAATCATCAGTCGGGTTTCTGGGCACACAAAACAACTTGGCCGTGAGAGAGGTCTCAGGCGCCTCCACAGTCAGTGAACACCCTGAAAAAAAACAGAAAAACAAAAGTAGAACAACCTAAATTTGGATCACATGCGAAGTTTAAAATAGTGACATCTGTAACCATTGAGGCGGAGAATATCACACTAACTTTGTTATTGAAGCCGTATCTGGCTCATCGCTGAAACACGCTGTAAGCACACATCCTAACAACATTCATGCCTGCTTGGAAATTGCATGAAAATAGTCTCACAACCCTAAACCCTTCAACGCTATCCTCCCGCACAACATGATGTATCTCACGCTATGCGCACACATATCTTGACAGCCCACTCACTCACCCGAAAACACTGCAAGAGCAGTGAACGCATTACTCTGAACACTCAGGGTGACTTTACAACTGATGGCGAATTGATACGCGAAAATAAGGTTCGAGTTCCACTGCTACATTGACACATTGTATCCGTACACATCACAAAAACACATTCAGATGACAACACGCTACACCCACGCATACCACAACACATGCAACGGTGCCCTCCCGCTAATCACAACACATACAACGTTTTCCTCCTACATATCGCATCAAATATAACGTTTTCTTCCCGCATATCACAACACATGCAACGTTTCCCGCCCGCATATCACAACACATACAACATTTTCCTCCCGCACATCACAACACACACAACGTTTTCCTCCCGCATATCACAACACATAAAACGTATTCCTCCCGCATATCACAACACATACAACGTTTTCCTCCCGCATATCACAATACACACAACGTTTTCCTCCTACATATTGCAACACATGCAACCATTTTCACATAACCCAACACTAGAACGTTTCCCTCCCACATATCATGCCAACTCACCCTCTTCCTCAAATACAGCGTAGAAGTAGTTTTGTTCACTCGCCGTGTACTGAAAAGCAACGCCCGAGGCGTATCCGATGCTATTCTGATGCCACCCACTGGGAACAGAAAACGAATACAAAACAACTCCATTGATTAGTTCATGTACAGACCGAGCGATGATTAGATTATAAGTCGAGTTAGGGTGGATACTACATCATTCTTTCGTAGTCTATTTCTAGAATGGATATATATATTCAGAATGGGGATCAAACATATACGACATCACACACCTGTATTGCCAGGCATGATTAGAATGGTGGCATTGAAATGTAGAAGAAGGAATAAGAGTCTATTTTAGAATGGAAATTAAGCAATGAAATTCAAGAACAAATCGATTTCAAAGTATCACTTCACCTGCTGTCGACCTCTCACATAAGACAGGTGTACCCAGCATATAAACAACTACACCACGTGATACCTCTGACGGCTTGAAAGGGTCTGCACCATTGACCACCTATTGTTATGACTCCAAACATTATCTCCCGTATAACCCATGC